AAAAATACATTTAAATATTAAAATATTTCAGTGTCTTAATTAAATTATTTTATTGTAGTTACATTAAATGATTGGTGTTGTGCTGCTGTGACTTTACATGAGCAGGCTCACTATTGGCTGATTCAGAGGTTGAGGTCAGCCATTTTGTGTTGACATCATTGTAGTCCTTAGTTCACAACACTTAAGTGTCACCTCAGTCAACACTTAAGAATCAGTCTTAGACTTTACTGAAAGTTGCTTTTAGCTTCTTTATAAAAGTCTCCTACTCTTAGAAAAGTCCTACTTTTTACTAAGAATTTTTTGACACTTAAGTCAAAGCTTAAGACTATTCTTAAGAGCAATTCTGAGAAGTTTTATACATACGGGCCCTGATATCGTGACAGCCCTATACCCATTCATTGCTATTGCATGTGTAAGAAAACAAACTGGTTTGAATTCACATTTTAGGGCAGGACACTGTAAAATCTTACACATGGATAAGAGTGACCAGTATTCTTCAAGCTTTTTCCTTGTATGTTCCACAGAAGAAAAAGTCATATGGTTTTGGAAGGCCATAAGGGAAGAAAACAATCCCAGTTTTATTTTGGATGATATATTCCTTATATAATTATACAGACAGTATAAAAAAAAACAATTATAATGGACAGTTTTGGTCTACATACTGATACAGAATAGTCAATACATAATTTCACCCATGCTAAAATACATAAAATCAAGTGTTTTTCCTTGCCACTGGTGGCTTTGGCTTGAATACTAGGCTTGAACTCCTACGTATTATGTATAAGCATTATGGCAATATGACCATAATCCTAATACCCGATATGCATCATTTTAATCATGAAAGTGATATTACCTAATAGTAACTAGGTTTGCCATTACACCATAATCCTCTATCACAGCAAAATGAAATACTAACTTCAACTTACAACTATTATACGTATATCCAACTTTACCCATATACCATACATATAAAGTGATATGCTTTGAGTTTGTAAGGTAGGTCTAAGAGTTGCATTTAGGTATGTACATTTAATCACTACATGTAAAATAACACTGGATTGTCTTCACTGTATACATTAGATTAATCTTAAATAGATTTTTTTTTAATTTACAAAAGTTGTTCAGGCAAGAACAGTAGTGATTTTCTCTTGGCCTTTTGTTGTTTGATTAATGTTAAGGACAAAGGCAGGTATATTAGGATGCTGTCACTTTAAGACCTAAAATACAGATCCAATATAATAATAGAAATCAGGGCCCGTATTCACAAAAAATCTTAAGGCTAAGAGTAGCTCATAACTCGCCGATTTAGGAGAAAATCTTTAAAATAATGGGCGTGTCAGTCCTAAATTTAGGACTCCTAAATTTTTGTTCTAAGAGTATTTCACAAAGCGTTTTAGCCCTAAAATTAGCTCCTAAATCTGTGAAACGTTAGGAGTAGTGAAGAGGACTCCTAAGTCACCAAGACCAAATTTGAACTATCCTAAAATGGCTGTTGCCAGCAATCTACATCGGAATCGTTAACGGCTGGTCTTTGTGGTAATATAGGTACATCGGGCAGGACATCCATATGCTTACCTTCATCGACCTCTAATATGGCTTATCATCTGAAATACTGTATGTATGTAGTAGCAACTTTACATGGCAGCTCAATCTAATGTTAGCCTAGAAAAAAGTCGCCGACTTCATCTCTTATACCGAAAACAGAAAGCACTAGTGTAACAATAAATTATTAAAATGTTAATGCAGTGTACTTGCTGCTTTTCCCTAACACATTCATAATTATTATATTTGCCGGTGCGCGGTGGCAAGCCTTTTTTGCGTGCGCTTGAGCGCTTATTAGGCTATGTAGGCAATTAAAGGCTCATTATTATGATTTATATGGTTTATTAATAAAAGTGCGACTAATAGTCGACTAATGCTTAAAATGAACGACTACTAGTCGACCAGAAAAATCTTTAGTCGAGGGCAGCCCTAATGCATATTGACTAATTGTTTACAAGCAGCATACATATAAGAGGCTGACAATTAGCTAAATATATAGCCTACTTGTTTAATTAGTGACACTTAGCCTGCATTTTAAAACCGTTATTTGAATATGGCAGCATAATATTGCGCTCTACAATATTTCTATGAATAAATCTCTGACACAGACTACCCGCCAATCACTGTGTGCATAGTTAGTAAGTATGCTGACATCATCCATAGCAACAAGGTCAACCCCGCCCTTACTCTTAGACTTCTCTCTATTCCTTAGTAAAAGTTTGTCTCAGCAGCTTTGTGAATAGGTTTTAAGAGAAAACTCTTAGCTAAAAACTTTTACCGCTATTTAGGAGAACTCTTAGTGGTAAGATAAAATGTTTTGTGAATACGGGCCCTGATTTCTTTCTCAACTGTTTACATTCACTTAAGACACAACTGACTGCGTTTACGAGGATATGAGACAAGTATATTGAGATTATTTTGTGTGAGCTTTGGGTGTGTGCGCACAGAAAACATTGCATGAGTACTGAATTGAGTTCTCTTTAGTGTGAATGGTTTAAAATCCCTTATAAATTTAAATGGGCAAGATGGAAACATAATGCTACAGAAGCTACAGAAGATACTTCTGTTTCTGAGAAGACAAACTAAGTACAGT